TAATTTGGGGGGGGGGGGGTATTCCCATTGATTATTTAAAATGAGGTTTCATACGAAAAATTGTTCTGAATTCAGATTATAATCCAAACATTTTTATAAGCTTAAATTTCAAGTGGTATTTTTCATTAATTCTTGGAGAAATAAAATGGTATTTCTTTTTAATGACAAATCTACAAAAAAAAGTTTATTATGATAAATGTATTGGCGGAAATGTATGGGTGTCATTCAAACCGTGCGTGCAATTGGTTAAAGAACCTAAGGGCATAGATTAAGAAAAAATCGAGATCCAATCAACCAATGAGAAGTTTTTTTTAATAGATGTATTATTAATAGTGAGCCATCAAAGGATGATTTCAATCGCACAGGTGAAAAAAACAAAGATAAACAATTGCGTCTGAGCACATGTTTAATGCGCCGCAGCAGTCACTTGGTAAAGTCAAGTAATACTTTGAATGTTTTCTAGACATAGCAAAGATGACACAAAATTAATTAAATTTATAATTACGTACGTTATCTAGTATTTGCGACATTATAGGGGGTGTGGATAGGGGTAACCAATTTTCAGCTATCTACTAATTTTTAAGTCAGTTGTCAGTTAACTGTTAGTATAGATAATTGTACGGTTTAGTATAGATAATTTTACGGTTKCGATTTCAATTTGAGATTGATTCGCACGAGTGTATTTTTCAAAGAGTAATTGCACTAGAACGTAGGTCGAGCGCAATTTCCGCACTTTGAAAGACACATGAGTGCCAATTATCCCAAATTGAACGAGAAACCGTGTGATTACTTATCAATAATATACATGAAAAACATTACAAAAGTGAAGAAATATGCCTATGAATCTGACGACGTGTGGGTATTCATTCAACTCATATTTTATGAAATTGTTGGTTTACATCAAACTATATTCAAAGCGATTTTAATTTCATGTAATTCAAAGAGTCTTTTAAACCAAAAGGTGATTCCCAACCAGGCAGAATTTGTGAAAGAGCGAAATATTGATGATCCATTAAATTGCGGATGTTTTTGATTATTTAGAAAGAAGTGGTGATCGTTCATGTATTCTTTTTGCAGAAGATTTTCAGAAAGACTTCGATTCCGTTGAGCATAACATCGTCAATGCTGTTCTCCGATGTTTTGGCTTAATTGGAGTTGGTTTTGTTAGATGGATCAAAACACTCCTTACTAATTATAATAGTTGTATTATTAATAATGGAGAAGCTTCTGATTTTTTAATAGAGATAAAACGAGGTGCCAAACAGAGAGATCCAATATCCCCATATTTTTTTATTTTGACAATTGAAATACTGGCCTAGTTAATTCGTAATAACAAAGATATAATGAAACTTTCTAAAATATTATCAGAGCAAGACAAAAGATAGCTTATATGCATTATTTTACCAAAGATTGTGCAGTGTTCGTAGATAAATTTTCAAACCTGTTTAGTTAAACCATTTTTAAAACATGTTTAAGCCTTGGAAGTCAATCGGTAGTCCTTTTATATTGTAGGTTTCTAGTTTCTCTTTTTTTCCTAATGAAAACACAGTTTAACTAAACACGTTTAGGTGTGAATGGGGTAAAAGAATGTCTAGAACTATTTCAAACCTATTCGTCCAACTTAAAGTGCATATCAAGAAAAAACATTTTATTTTCAAAATCACTTATATGTGAACAGTGTAGTAGAATGGTTGCAGTATTTTTGTATCTGGACCTCTCTTTTCAGAGATATAAACATTTGAAATATCAATATGCAAATGAAATGAAGTAAATTCAAGAACTGGTTACATTTTGCAGAATAATTTACGACAAGTGTTCTGAAGTGAAATAACCCAAAAGTGTACAAAGCCAYATATTCTAATCATAAGGATAATTTGCAAATGAAAAAACAGCATTACTTTCCACAACAGCATTTTTGTATAATGAATTAGTCTTGAACTTTACGTCATCTCATTTGCATATTGATATTTCAAWTGTTTAAATGTGGTTAAATGAAATTTAAGCAAAGTTAGAATCGATCTATGTAGCAGCGAATAGTCTATGATAACCGCTGTTTGTTGACTGCATGCTAGCCGCCTATACAGTCAATTCAAAACACGTTGTCGTCGACCGACTCAAGCCTACGCGACTGGACCGAAAGGAATATGGGTAAAAATCACTGAAGCGGTTAAATATTCGTTCTGAATTAATTGTTCCCGCTAGTAATAAGATAATAATGGCGAGAAACAATCCATCAAATGCATGTTTTGGGTTTAGGGAAAGAAAAACAAAGTAGTTATGATTCAGTTCACAATTTCGAAAATATGAAGACATCAAAAAAACGTCTCCTTCAACTCTTCGCGCTCGCCTACGAAGGTTCGTGCTTAAACCAGGCATAACTGGTCAGATAATAAAATTATGGAGTCAACTCGGCTTCAATGATTGCTACCCAGAATTCCTTTCGGTCCAGTCGCGTAGGCTTGAGTTGGTCGACGACAACGTTTYTTGAATTGACTGTATACGCTAAACACACGCTATTACAATCACACGCTATACTCGTGATTACGCTAGCATTATCTTTGGTCATCAGCAGCGCCGAGCTATTTGATCGGTAATTACCGCGATATCGATCAACGCTATTTATTGCTAATGGGTCAACTCGATCAAAYGCTATCCATGTGATCACACTAGCTTGACCTTAGATTCGCCAAGAATCGTTTGCTCTACGATATTCGCTRTCGCTAGCCTCTGGCAACCACACGCTAAACGCTATTTGGTTTTTTCCCGCCCTCCCTCCCTATGGTAGGTATATATAGGTAAGTATTCCACTGACCAGACCGTCAGTGTGACAGGTGCACGGTGAGTTGTGACAGGGTTGCCATGGTTACCGCAATTTATGCACCAATCCCCTCTCATCCCATCGAACAAGCACCTAACGCCAAGCTCATCTACCAGTGATGAGTTTAAACATTGTAATATATCTCCTAAAAGAAAATTTGACATACAAAAATACTGCAACCATTCTACTACACTACTCACATATAAATGATTTTGAAAGAAAAAATTCCTTGATATACACTTTAACTATGAAAAGTCCGAAGTTGGCTGGGTTGGTGCTAGAAATACAGAATTAAATGAAACGAGAATTAACAAAAAAAGAAAGGAAAAAAAAGAGATTTTCACGCTAGTGGAGTCAATATTCTCGGAATATATTTCTCTCATAATAAGGCGCTTATGCGTAATAATAACTTTGATAGGGTGTTTAAAAAATTTAAATCCGTCTTGTCAATGATATGGAGAATGAGAAACCTCACATTGTTTGGAAAAGTGGTGTGATTCGGATTATTTTGCGCGGAGAAGTATATTTGTGGCATTGCCAGATACTTGGAAATTAAAACTTAAGAGTCCATATCGCTTCCATACTGTTTACAGGAGAGTAATAAAGGAATAAAACTATGTAATACTCACACACATCTTTCAAAACTTACAACAAAGATGATCTATTGGGAAATAATTAGAAATAAGTTTAAAATACCAACGGCACAGAGGTACATATCCAACAAGTAGAGCATACCGGACATTGAGTGGTTAAAGGTTTATCAGGGTGTGTTTAATATTACCAATGAAATCCGGTTACGAGCATTCCAGTATAAAATTTTAAATAACTGTCTGTTTCTTAATAAAGACCTCTATAAGTTTAGACGACGTTGGACACATGCAGACTGCAGGCTGCAGACTAGGCTTAAAACGATTTAAATGATTCGGAAGATAAATAGTTAACAATAAACTACTTGTTTATAGTATTTTGTCTTTCTGAGACGACAGTTAAATCTTACCGTGTTGAATTATCAATGACCTCATTTGACCCCTCTCATTGCTTCATCGTTGGGAATGATAACAATATTGAAAAAGACTTAACGGAAAAGACAAATAATAAAATAATAAAAAATAAGAAGCAGACAACGTGTTGTGTGCATTATATCTACGATACATGAGAACTATGAGAGAACTGGATCACCGTTTACTAGTTTATACGTACCGCGAAGAAGTTAATAATCAGTAGCCGTTATCGACAAAACGTTCTGGTTTATATGTAACTCATATACAGTGTTAATGTTGTGATGCGCAAATGCTGTGATAAGTACACCTTTTGCTGTTCATTAACCGCAAARGAATATTCATTGAAGCGAAGAAGAATTGTCATTATAGCGAACAGGCATACAATAAAGCGAACGGAGTCTCAATAGTGCGATGGAACTTTCATTAAGAAAATTAGCATTGAATTTGACAATCATAAATATGTTTGCGTGGGTTCATTATTAAGGATATATGATACATATTCATGAATTTTCCACCTCTATTAACCCCGAAAACCATTCTTACCTTTCAGTAATC